GATACCCCCATCTTTGTTCATCTTCATCAACATTATTATTGAAAGTCTATTGTAGTTCTGTAAAAATTTTAGGACTGTGATTTTTTTATTGCTGTGAAAAAATGCCATTGGAATTTTGAAAGGGAATACCTTGAATCTATATACCACTCTGGATAATATAGCACTTTAACAATATTTTTTCCTATCCATAAACATGGGAAATCTTTGCATTTATTTGTGCCTACTTCAATTTCTTTCATCAGTATCTTATTTTTTTAGTATAAAGCTCTTTCACCTTAGTTCACAATCTCCTTTGTACAATTTATTACTAAAAATGTATTATTTTTGTTGCTGTTGTAAATGAGATTGTTTTTTCCTTTATTATTGAATAGTTAGTGTATGAAAACACAACTAATATTTGTATGTTAATTTAATATTCTGGTAATTTACTGAGTGAATTTTTTAGTATAAACAGTTTTTTATTGTATTCTTTATTGTTTTCTACATATAATATGTCATCGACGAACAGTGATATTTTTACTTTTTTTCTATTTGAATGGCTTTTTCAAAATTTTCTTGCCTAATATTTCTGCCTAGGACTTCCAATAGTATGATAAAATAGAAACATTGAAAATAAGCACAATGTAGTCTTATGTTTGTATATGTGCATCTGAAGAACCAAGTACCTCTTCCAGTTTTTATAAAAGTTTTAGCTGTTAAAGTTCCTTTCTTCTTGGGTTCACAGACTGATGGGATGTCCTCTGGATTTGCAAAGAAGAGTAGTGATAGCTGGCTTGAAACACTGCTTCTTGGTCTGCAGTGAGATCTCCCTTTAATGGACCTGTTACTAGGGGCTTTGATGGTTGTCAATTCTGTCTTATTCCTGGGCAGACTAGATTGCCTTTAGGACTTTGGTCTGTAAGACAGAGAATTGCAGTTGGGTCTTCATATGGGGGGCCTGATGCCAAGTGTATGTCTGAGTGTGGCTCCCACTAAATATATGAAAGGTTTTCCCCAGGTCACTGTATCAGTCACTAGGTAGGCAGAATTAGCTTGTGTGCTGTGATTAAGAAGACTGGAAATGAGTCATAGAACTGCTTCAGAGACCACAGTGAGTGGCAATGTCTGCAGACCTACATCCATGATTGCAAATGGGCATCTCTTCCCAGGTATGTGGATAGGCAGGACCACTCCTGTACCATGGCTTGAACAAGTTAAAGATGCTTACACAGTCACTTGAGAACTATTAGTAGTACAAAGTTGATCAGGCCATCTTCTGGTCTGTAGACAAGACCAGATTTCAAGTGTACCACGAAAATGAGGGTCTGCCTTCTCAAATATAACCCTCCTTGGTCTTGCGCTTTAGCAGGGTTTAACAACCCTCTTCCTTATCCCCTCTCAGCACCCAAAATTCTCATAAAGGGACGGACTTATTTTTGAGATGGAGGTCTCACTCTATCACTTGGGCTAGTCTCAAACTTCTGAATTGAAGTGATCCTCCTCCTTTAGCCTCCAAGTAGCTGGGATTACAGGTTTGTGACACTATGCCTGGCTCTCATAAGGGCACTTTTGTCCATAGATGGCTTCTAAATTTTTGTTGGCTGTGGGGGAATATACAAGCAGAAGATTACTTATTCCTCCATCTTGCTAATGTCACTCTCTATATACATTTTCACTTTCTATTTTGTTCTATATCAAATTTTGCACTCAAGATTTTGCCTAAACATTTCTCTTATTCTTCCTTTGCAATTCCATATTACTGGGTTTCCTTTTTTAGGTATGTCTCTTAATATCAGTTTATTGTGTTTTGTTTTACCTATGTATTCTAATTTTGGATGAAATAGCAACTTTATGTATACATTTTAAGTTCATATGTATTTTATTTAAAATATGAATCAGCTATTTATCTATTCCAAATTATATATGTGTGTATTTGTCTCTATAAGTATGACCCAAACTTTGATTATAGCTTATCTTGTATATTTCTTTACCTGGCT